GGTCAGATTTCTGACAAAAGTCGTAAAACTTATCAGATGATTACTTCAAACAGCTAGTAAGCCAGTGTGCTTTGTTCGGTACTTTTTGAAACTCCCATAGCACGAAATGGGAGTTTTAAGTTGGTGCCAGACAGAAAAATCGCACTTCTTGACCGTCTCCCTTTCATAGGCAGTCTCAATGATGCAAATTATTCGATCAGTATTCGAAAATCGGATGATATTGGAAAATTGAATAACATTCGAGAACCGAATAATATTCGAAATTCGAATAACGAATGATATTCGATATTCGAATATTATTCGATTCGAAATTTTTATTTTCGAATAATATTCGATAGTCGAATATTCGAAATTTCCGATTTTCGAGTAATATTCGAAAGTCGAATATTTGTAATTTTCAATTTTCGAATAATATTCGATAGTCGAATATTCGAAAATTTCGATTTTCGAATATTACTCGATATTCAAATATTCGAAATTTTCAATTTTCGAATATATTCGATATTCGAATATTCGAAAAAAATTTCGAATTTCCCCAAGTATAGGGTCTACTTTAACATCCCCACAAAAACCCGGCACCCACATTTTTGCTGGGACGCTGCCTTTGCAGTGGATCGGCAAAATCCAATAACTCGGGATTTTAACGCGGTAGGTTCCTTATCGCCCAACTATGAAAAATGCAATCACGGTTGCACAGCATGCTTTCCCTGCCGAGAAAATCGCTTTTGAACTTACACGCGCAGGCCAATCTTGCACGCATCTGGACGAGTTGGCATTTCCTTCTCCCCCTTGGAGGCTGCCCGCCGCAACGCTATAACCATTGGGTCCTGCCACGATTTAGCGTTATCGGCCTTGCTCCACTCGTCCAATATCAAAGGGAAGGGCACTAAAAGACGTCCATTTTCGCCGTTTTCAAGCTTTCAAAAGTGAATTTCCGGGATCAGAGTATTGAAAAACCCCAGGTAAGCGCAAATTTGACTAGGTTGAGATTTGCCGAGCCACTGCCTTTAATGTGCTTCAGCCACGCAAACACCTAGATACCTCTTTTGAAATTTGAAACAAAGTCGTCAATTTGGTTGTCCTTGCTTCGTACTTTCTTACAAAAACAATTGCAGTTTGCGCACGTCCGATGCTGAAATCTAATAATCATCAAGAATCTGGATCGTCTAGATGCAAATGTCTAATTTTGGCATTTCTGCAGTCAAAACTCGGCACGAAAGCAAACACGAGCACAATAAACGTAATCTTTCGCGGAATTATCAACTGCTTCTCTCAATTAAAAATTCTTGCTCTTTTGTTCCTGAAAGTGTGGGCATACCTCTAACAATTTTCATCGCCACTTGATTTGGCATTTCGCTAGGTCGTTGTCGAGATGGAATTGCAAGTTATGTCCAATTAAGAACCTGGAAACAAATTATGCGAGTCAAAAAGCTGTTCGTTTCACTCATAACAGCTTAGATAGGCGCACAGCACAGCATCTTTATAACATGAAAGCAGTCTCGAAAAAGCGGACTGCTTTTCAAACTCTTTGGCACATCTTGTAGAAGCTCGCCCGCAGATTAAATTGATTCAGAGAACAACTTGCATTCTATAACATTTTACCTAATCAAGAAACAAGATAGATGTATACTTAGCTTATCTCAATGGAAGCACGTCTATCCAGATTGGATCAGGCCGAACCGTTGGCTTACAGGCGCGTGTGAAGCGCAAGTTCCTTGCATCGCTAGATTTTGCGCTGCACATAGGCATTGTCGGGAAGAAGAGATGGAAGAGAGAGCAGACAAGCAGGCTGTAGTCGTGCCACCAAACCCTAGCGATGCGGAATCCCCCGTACCAGTTTTGGTCTAACTGAGAGTGGGAGTATAATTTCAGGGGCTCGCTTGCGACGCGAAACCGCAATGCGACATGAAGGATTACAAGTCAGCTTCCTTCAGTATTCCTGACGCAATGTTACTCATGGCATCGAGTCATGTATCTGCCGCCACCCCTCCCCTCCCCCCACTACTGTGGCGCTGTGCCAAGCCCGAGAGTTCTTGTGAGGCACAAAATTTGAGCGCGACGAGCTGCCCGCGACCCGCAGCCTCCCAGAAAATCGCGAGGGGCAGGACACCTTTGCCATATAGTCTCACCTTTGCTAGGCGTACGCCCGAAACTGTTTAGAAAGAGTCCGAACGCTTGCTGAAAGTTTGGCCAGCGCTAGCTGAAAGAGATTATTTGCCGAGCGCTTGCAAAAAAAGCTGTATTGCTGCCCGCTGGCAGAACATGCGACCGGAAAGGAAGTGCTGCCCGCTGAAGGTTTGGCCACGCCCCAAAATTCTGCTGACCGCCTGCAGAAAAGCGCGAGTTTGCGGACCGCCTGCCTCCGGCGATTATCTAAGCTTCCTTGCGGCCACCTCGCTCAGGACGGCGCTTTCGCGGACGTCATTCAAGGCATTTTATCATGACTGTGGCAGGCTTCAGACGGCGCTTAAACCCGCCTGTACCGCAGGTCCCGCTGCAACCGCCTGACCCGCCGGAACGCCTAAAACAGTCAAACTATTGTGACTTATGTTAACAATACAAAGCGCGTGGTATTATACACATCCTCCAGGCTGCCTCAGGCAGCTCTTTGTTAGTTCCCCATTCCTTTTTGTGATTTTACAAGATAGTGCTTCTCCTAAAAGTACCGTAGTAACAAACTGAACTGTTCTTGCATTCCGCACCACACGACATTGAATACTATTTCCATGCAGCTGCCTGTAGAACTGGTTAGTTACTCTGCCCGCAACAACGACGCAGACTGACCCCGTCTTTACCGTAACTGCTCAATCCTACGCATTAATGAATCATTGGCTTAATTTCGTTTTCTTCAAATTCTAGCTTACACATGCACATTGATTCTCTACCTCAAAATATTCTTCCACAAATTCAATCCCCTACTCGTTGATACTTACTTTTCAGTGTCATTAGTCTCCATATATGAAGGCTCACTGGTATAGCGTCCTCACCCTGCTAGTCGGTCGGTGGTCGAACTTGACCGAACTGGAGCAGGCTGACCGAGGCAGACGCGGCAGACGCCGCCCCTCAGCCAACCGCTTGCACGAGCTTTTTTCTTATTTTCTTCGTGTTTCTTTGCTATCTCTGTATTGCGGCAATGTTCTTAAACGCACTTTCAGATTTCGTACCGCTTACGCGGTCTGCCGCACTCTGCCGCGGTCGGTCTGCTCCACTTCAAACTCGACCACCGACCGACTAGTGGGGTGTGGACGACTATATGCCACAAGCTGACCCAAAAAAAATGAAAGTCACGGATTTTGCTAAATCTCTTGGGGGGGGAGGTATTTGGCACGCTAAACACGAACATGATGTTTCGCGCGGCAGTGTCATCCGATAGAGTTGCGGTAGGGCTACGGCAGGGATCATATTCAAGAATTCGGCCAAAAGTTTGCCAATGGAATATCAAGCCACCGTTTGCTACTATCGCCTAAAGAAAGTATTTCGATGCAGTTCCGAACAGAATCTGTGGCCCTAAAGAGGGCCATTGGGACAAAACACTGTCATCAGGGGACGGGCTAAAGAGCTACCTCTCCAGAAGTTGTACAGAGATTCTCCTCACGTGCCAAACATTCTCCTCCAAAAGAATTCCTTCAGATAGTCGGCGTATCTCCTGTTACTGATAGTGAGTATGCGCGCCTGTTTGCGAGTTTACGAAATTCACCTGATTTCACGGTAAAATGGGTGTAAAGCTGCGGCAAGGCTGATATCCTATTATAGGCCTGCCAGCAGTTGATGATAATAGTGGTATCCGGCCTAATATACTTCGTAATGAGCCACAGCCTCGCTACCGCCGCCGGACGAGCAGTAGGAACGATCAGCCACTTCCTCTCTCCTATACAAACAGCCACTAATGTTGGCGGACAATGCGGTCTCGACTATACTTCCTTTTCGTGAAGCACGTCTCGTTGATCTCTACAACGTAACCGAACCCACCTAGAACCGGACGATTCCTTCGGAAATATTGACAGCACACCTCTCTGAAGTCCCAGTTCCCAGTTGTTCCCATTGTACAACGGACGTGTGCCATATTCCGAGCTGATAAATCTTGTCCTTAACCAGTCCAAATTCTCTAACCCAGAAGTAGAACAGTGCGAACGCTTCGGCCACCAGACTGTAGTGGCTGAAGAACGGTCCTTCCAAGATGGTCGCAAATGGTTTGTTGTTGCTGTAACCCCTTTAGACGAACTTTTGGGCAAATTCGTGGTTTAGGCCCTCTACCGTAATCCTACCGTAACTCTATCGGATGGCGCCGTCGCGCTAACTAAACATCATGTTTGTGTTCAGCGTTTTAAGTAACCTCCGCCCCCCCCCTAGACGAAGTTTCAGCGAAATCCATGGTTTCCACTTTTTGGGCCGACTAACGTGGAATAGCGTCGGCTCACTCATTAGTATGTTTGCCTTTTGCCAAGTGCAAATAAACGTTCTCGTCTCACACTCAAACCTTCGAATCTCTGCGTCTTCCAAACAATTCCAGCCATGGGTGGGTTCAGATGAGTCTTGACCTTTCGAACGCACTTTGAATGCCCAAGCAGTGACTGAAAGAGCGCAGCAAAATGTCCGAAGTACACATTCGCGAAAGCGGCCAAGGGCTCGAGCTAGGCGTCGCGAGGACGCAAGCCGCTGGACGTCTGGCACTCTGTCTAACCCTACAATCTCTAAAAATCTGATAGGAGAGAATCGCGGCTCGTGCGTTGCAGTCTTTCCGGTATCTTTGGCAGGGCGCGCAAAGCCCTGCTGTAGGAGAGAAACTAGCAGGGAGTAAACAGGCCCCAACACGAACTTCTCCATTAGACTGCATGACGCAAAACCATGGTGATGCAGACGTGTATCACGCCAATTTCGTTCCAATTGGGTTTGATGGAAAGTCAAGGTTGTTAACCATCGGAATATTGATGATTTGGCTCTAGAAAGCAACTATGACGTTACATGCAGATAGTATCAACAAACTCCGATCTTCTATTTAGCACGTTGAAGGAAGACTACTTTTATGTGCGTTGGCTTCCACTATCCCTAGTCTTGGTGAGGTGCTTCGCTCAATGACCACACTACTTACTGAAGACCAGAATATATATGTTTTGATCGCAGAGATTTGGTAAGTGCAACGAGCAAAACATTCTTCTGGCATAAAACATACCCATACTTTCACAAGTCCTTAGTTGTTTATGTTTTAGGTTCTATGAGACAGAAATAACAATGACTCTTCCTCTATGGGTACAATTGATAGTTAACGAAAACATACGCGAGCGAATGATTCGAAGAGTCCGTGAAGGGCACTACTCCAACACAGCTTTATCAAACGCCAAAACTTGTTTTTAAAATGCTGTATTATGATCTAACCAACCACATTTCTGTCTTCATTTAAAAAACCTTCAACAAGCCTGCGCACGCCTATAAGAACGCTCAAAGATATGAAAATGGCAAAAATTTCGTTAAGAATGAGTTTATCATTTATGGAGGATCTCGGCATCAACGACTCAATGAAAGTCAAGAGCTGTCTAGAGATCTAGAGAAAAGCCTGAGAAAATCTTTGCTTACTATGTTAGGTTGAGGTAGTTTGAGTTTGTATAAAGAACATTTTAAGTTCCAAAGCTCAGATTGATTACAACAGTACAGAGGCATAAGTCTAATGATTGCGGCTTTGGAAGTCTACTCATTCGTGACGACGTCGCCGTAGTTTTCAGATTATCGCTCTTCATCTGAGCGAGAAAACTGACAAAAACATCTGTGAAGTGCCTGTGAAGTTATTCAATCCATCCTAATCAAAGTTTGTTTTTCCATACATTCCCTAGATAACGCTCGTTATGGTGCTGACGGAGAGGACAACATCGCCCATACAAGGAAGGCGTGCAAGTGTTATCCAAAAGCCGCCTGATGCCGCAGCCGGCGGCCAGAGCTGGCGCCAACGCCGCAGATAAACTATAGTAAGCACGATATCGCTGTCCATAACCTAGAGATCTTCTCGGCAGCTTCATACCTCATCGCGCCAAGGTGAGAAATATTCTCAGAGACTGGGCTATTGCCACAAAATCTATATAAATATAAACCTATATAAATAGAAGGACAACACAAGGAAGACAAGGATGAAAATATATTAGGTTGTTCCATAAGTTCGTAGCGTTTTTATTTTCGTACTCATGTCTTTGAGGAGCGGTTGATTTGCGGCGGAATGCATATATCGTTTGGAAGGGCTGATTGTGCTCTTTGAAATACATCTACTGATTTCGGTGGAAAGCTGATTCACTCGGATCTCGCAGCTTACAAAGATGGAAATCTTGAAAGGCAAAAAGGAGCAATTTCGGCATTTGCGCCTTTTTCGTTATGAAAAGAAGCATTTTTGCGCAAATTTTTGTGTCGATTATGTAACGTGGCGTTTGTTCATCAATATAAGACAAAAAAGAATTGGACTGATACAAAAGAGCAGGAGCTGAGCAGGATGTCCCTGAACAAGACTTTTCGGGGGACGGGCAGGACGTCCTGCACTGAAAATTGCTGAACAAGTAGGCGACGGTCAACCACACCATAAGCAGTTCAACCCGCAGAAAAAGCCTAACAGACAAATCCAGTGAGTTTTCTGCATAACGAAACATGGCCTCATACGGTAAACGTCGTCAAAACTCTCCTGCACGATTCGACTGGAAGGTACTTCAGTACTCAAAATACTCTCCAAACCTCGCTCTGCCAGATTATCATTTGCTCCGCTCTCCGGCAAACCTCATGAGTTGTGCATGTCTCGATCTCAGTAAGCAACTTGAGCGCTGGTTAGATGACTTTCCTGGGACCCGGCGCGCTGCCGTTTAAAAAATTGAGGTTGAGAAGCTAACAAGAATGTGCCAAAAGGTTGTGCGCTACAACCAGGAATATAATTTTGAGTGATTTTTTACTGTAAATTGATGATTTTGTTGGTTTATAAAAACGCTACGAACTTATGGAACGACCTTATATATGAAAAATTATTGATTGAAATAAAAAAAAATTAAGATAAAAGGAATATCCGTTTCGTTCCTACCCTTAGACGAATACAAAGTGGTTAATGAGCTCTCCCCGGAACTCATCAGTAAAGAGGGAGGACTTAAGTTAGTAAAATTTAAAGAAAACTCACCTTATCTATATAAATCACCACCGTGGAAATTTATCATATTATCGATGGAACGCAAGACGAAATAGGGCAATACAAGGATAAGTAATATAATTATTGTTCTAATAACCATAAGATTGCGAGTGTGTGATTATAACAGAGGGCTCAGAAAAACTTCAAAAAAGCAGAAAATAAGCATATAGAATTCTCTCACCTACCAATAAAAAAGAAAATTACAAATGTGATATGAACCAAAAGTTTTTTTAGACTCATTGTATGGTTTTTCGTATAGTTCATCGGGACCTTCTCCATAGAACGTTTGATCAACCACAGACATAAACAAAAAAGAATACGAAAACAATACAATTGTATTGTTTATATCTAAGGGATTTTTCTGTGACAAATTTTGGCATTTCTATACAGAAAGTTTGTTTGAGCTTCTATACCTGCATATGTGGCACACTTTCATTCTGATATCTGACATGCTTAGACAATTTTTACCATAGGCACTCCACATTACTATATGACTGTCCCAAAAAAATGTATCTACTGTTTGATTGTAAATAACTCTCTTGTGATGAAGTACTTCGAGAAGCTTTAGGTACGATTTTGTAGAGCGCGGTCAAACTTAGATTTACAGTACAGAGCGAATCATGGATCGCTCTTCATAGTTGAAGTTTAGGTAAGAACTTCCAGCATATGGAACTACATACGTGTAATATATTATCTAACAAAATTTTTTTCAAAAATTTGAAAAATCGTTTACCAGGGTTTTCGCGCAAGCTGATTCCAACTAACAACTTTTTACGAGTGTTCTCCGCTATTTTGACGGTGTAATTACATTTCTGAGAATTGCTAGGAACTGAGTTCTTACGCATCCATGTTCGACTATCCATAAATCTTGGCATTGTTGTAATGTCGGCAGCCTCCAATATGTTCACGAAAAGATACGCCAACGAGCCAACGAGCGAGAGAGCGTAAGAGACGGCGAAACAGCTGGGGGAAAAACATGGCCAGTCATTCCTTTTCCGCGTTTAGTTTACAAACCGCAGGAGCCTAATCAACCAGTGGATGCCAAATTTCGAGTGTTTGCTACCGGGTTGTTCTCTATTCTCAATCGTTTCCGCCAAAAACGCCAAAATGGTAATTTAACACTTTTGCAACGCCGCGGCCTGCGCGAAGTTCGCGATCTTTGTGCGGCTGGTGAGATCAAGGTGTCGGTCAGCGACAAAGGAGGAGAGTTTGTGGTTCTCTCTCGTGATCTAGACATGTCTATCACTAAACACCATGTGCAGGATACTACCGTATACGAACCTGTGACAGCAAACGATTTCAGGAAGCAATACCGCCGCTTAAACAGGGTGTAATTAGACGTGGCTAAGGCTGAAGGCATTCCTAGGGCTATTGCTACACGTTTAAAGACCGATCTGCCCTTGTGTCCGGTTCTCTACACTCTTATCAAGACACACAAGGTGCCTATAGATAGTTTAATGTCCAATAACCCGCAGGATTTTAAGGTAAGGCCTATCATCAGCGGTGTCGGAGGCCCTACGGACAGGATTTCTTGGTTTCTCAATACTATCCTCTCTCAACTGCTGAGATTTGTCCCCGCACATCTCTCCAACACCAAAATGTTTCTTGATCGTCTACGCAGCACCAATGTAAGGCAAGGGTGCGTTTTAGAGTCTTTCGATGTGGAATCGCTTTATACCAATGTCTCCAACGACGCCGCGATGCAGGCGACCTTCGAACTCCTTCTAGAACACCAGTCTTCACTTAATCTCTATGGTCTTAGCATCAGAGGCATCTTGTCATTGGTTAAAGAATGTCTCAACTGCTCCATCTTTCGTTGGTGTGGCAACTATTATAGGCAAATTAGAGGATTGGCTATGGGACAGAGGCTAGCGCCGACCTTGGCGATAGTTTTCATGTCTAAGGTGGAAGCCCCAGTACTGGCGAGCAAGCCTCTGCTCCACTGTCGTTACGTGGACGACTGCTGTATCGTGTGCCCTACCCAGGCCGAGCTTGACGCTTGCTTCAACACCATGAATGCCCAGGACACGAACATCAAGATGACGAGGGAAAAACCCAAACATGGATGGCTGCCGTTCCTCAACGTGCAGTTATGTTTGTCGGACAGACGTTTCAAAACCAGATGGTACCGAAAGCCGAGCAGCAAGAACATCTTAGTACATCAAACTTCAGCACATCCTGCACGAATAAAGAAGTCCATCATAGGAAACATGTTTAGAACAGCTACGGGAGTTTCTTCTGATAGAGACGAGAAGATGCACTCGCTAGAGCTCGCAAGATCAGTAGCAAAATCCAATGGATACAGCACTGAAACTCACCACTCTTACAGATACCGAGTCCACCGTATGTCGCCTAGATCAGAAGCTGACGATCGGATTTCGTTCTGTCTACCATACATCTCAGAAGAATTTAGTAGGGCTGTTCGCAGATTACTCCATCAAGCGGACCTTAACGATATGGTGAGGATCGTCGACATTCCGCCCGCAAACCTTAAACAGCAACTAGTGCGAAACCGCGAGTATGATCGTCTTTGTACAACTCCTAGTGGTGTGATTTGTCCGTTTGGAAAGGCAGGAGACTGTATGGTATCAGGTGTTGTCTACCTTATCACGTGTACATCATGTGGAGACACGTATATTGGCAAGACGGGGCGCCCCCTGTGTACGCGCATCAAAGAACACTTAGATGGTCTCAGCAAATGCAACGTACCATCGATATCAACCCGCATGGGGGCGTATCGTTACGTGCGGGCTTCCAACTGAAACAGTCGCGCGCGACAGGCTGCCAGTGACCAGGCTCGGAAATTCAGCCAGCATGATCCGCAGCACATAGTTTTTCACTTTCTCATACTCTATTGAGGTTCACAGACTATTCTCATATTAATTTTGCTCATTGTTTGAAGTTTTGCCACAAAAGTTGTAAAATGAGTTCTTTGAAGGACAAAAAGACACAAAATGAAGAAGGTAAAAAAACTAACAATATAGAAGAAGCATTGGTAATGTAGTGGTTAAATCTGGCAAGTTTTCTGTACTGCTGCTTCCCGCGCGCGGTTAATGTAACGCCGCGTTGCGACATTTTCCATTTGGCAGACCGCACGTAACGAGCGCCCTCCAACCCGCATTGGTCTTTTCCGCGCCGCACTGCTCCAGTGCGCACGCCTTGCAACGCCCATGCAAGACGTGACGGGCGTCCACTCTTGGCGCTTTGCCAATCATCATCAGCTGATTTTGCGGCCGGCCATATCACTTTGTTGTTATTTCTTCATTATTTTCTCTTCTATTTTCAGGTTTTCTGCTGGAAAAGTGATGGGCCGGCCCTAATCCGATGGATGATACGCCGTTTTACCAATTCTTGCCAGAATGGTAACTTATTATTAGTGGCCAACGACATTAGAATATTTGCTGAAAAGTGAGTTACTCAGTGAAGCCCTCAGCCACCCCTTCAGTACAATTTTCGGAGTCATTAACTAACGGCAAGCTTTGTTTTTTTTTATGCATATAGAGTTACGTTCTGATATATCTTCTTTTTATCAGTAAAGCTAGCTTTTCTTTTTGCTTCAATCAAATATAACATTTCGGTCATAAGCTGCTTTTAATAAGAAGCGGTTGTTACTCATATATGAAAGTCACGATGCTGCAACTATCCTTATAATTTCAATTCATATATGGCAAATTTTTTGATATATGAAGACGATCTCGAGATTATAAGAATAGTCATATAGTCTAGTTGCTGTGCAAAGTTCTACGAATGGTTTTTTCTTCCAGGAATCGAGTCTCATTCCTCAACATTTCCCCAAGCAAAAAATTCGTCAAAGACACGCTAGACACTCATTCGCTCAGATTTGGAGCACCGGCACCAATTATTTTGAGGTTTGCACTTTTTGCCCTTCAAAGTTTCTTCCTTCGTGGTCTAGTCTACACATGCACGCGCAAATTCGATTTAGAATATATCTTATCCTTAGTTGTTGATGTCCTTTGAGTTCTTCCTAGCGTTTACTTACAGTTGGTTCATCTACCGAGCACTCCTCGTGGACAGTCTGTCGTTAATGCAAATATCTGATTTCTCAATGCACCCGATTTCGTGCTGGAAATCTATTGCTCTTGCTGGAAGTCACGATAACACTACAGATGTGACATTTTTCCTAGGTATCCTGGCACTATGAGTTGTTACAAAAAGCGTTTTATCTGCTGAGAATTTATATCTGCAGCACTGATTTACTAGGAAGACGAAGATTCGAAAGTCAAGTGGTTCTCAGCTATTCCTATTGATTTAATCTACCGATGAAACTTTGAGGTGTCTAGGGATATGCAGAATATCATCAAGTTTCTTTAGTTTGACCAAGGACCAACTTACCATCTTTCACTCACTGGACGCGTTTTTCTGTGTTCCTGACCAGACTCAAATTTGTGCACTTGTGAACGAACGGATGCAATTGTCATCGTTTTGGTGAGTTGTAGCTTTACCATTTCTTCCCTGTTATCTCTCTTGTGAATGTGGAAAGAACATTCCAGTCCAATCCGCATTTTCGCCGGATCTTGACGGAACGCAATACAACTTATCCAAAAAAGGTTGTTACCATTCCTGCGAGTACCAAGTTAGTAGGAACTGGTGAGTCTTGAGAAGTCTCTATTGTTTTACTGTCATTTTCTACAACAATGCTTCAGCTTGTGATGAGCGATTCTGCTATGTGATGACGTTCGACAGGGCTATCTCATGTGTCCAAGGTAAATCCACTGCTCTTATTATATAGCTAAGTTATGGATAAGTTCATGTTACTCATCATGTTTTGTCAGGCTTGCCGATGAATGCTAAAGCGTCGTAAACTGCAAATGTTCGATAATTAATACTACACGTTCCCGCAGCCGTGGATCTTCATGAAACTAGTACTCAAGAACTGATGCGAAAGGAGGAACAAGCGCGAAATAACCTTGGTTTTTGCTCATCACCTTGCTTTTCATCGCAATTCCAGTTCTATGTATGTAACGTGTATTAGACATTTAGTCATGTCTATTCTTCTTTCTCATAAGAAAATTTCAGATGAAATAATTTTTGAATACGATTTAGTATAAGGCAATATGTTGATTTTCCATCGGTCATTGTATGCTTAATCATTTACTTTGGCGTTGTTCATAAAGTGTATGAGTCGAAAGTACTGTGATATTAATGTACATTTTAGCACACTACTGCATGGTGAAACCATGTGATAGATATATAACCAAATGATCATACCGACATTCCAATCCATAAGGATATTCTCGGCGCTATTTCGCTTGATACAATGCAACATAATATCGTAGATTTCGCTCAAAATTCGCCTAGGAGGGGGGTCATTCGATTTACTAATCACGAGAATGATCTTCATTACATGGTGGGACCAATCCGCAAACTTTCCGTGGGGGTGCAACATGCTGATCACGATAGCACACTTGTTACGCAGAAAAATGTCTCCATGTGTAGTTACTGTAGGTGTCCGCTAGGGTGAAAAAATCTAGGTTTGGGTGTATGGTCTGGAAAGGTTACTCAGCACCCTGAACATGGAAATCATATTGATTTTGTACAGTAGCGCCATTTCCTCGACCAAAGGTAAAAGTGCGGTAGGTAGATGAAATCCAATTTCGCTGAAAACGTTGCCTAGAGTGTTTTCAAACACCCTGATCACGAATATCATGCTTCGACAACATCTCTTCTACAACCAACCTATGTGTAGTGTGTGTAGTGTGTGTGTAGTGTGTGTGTAGTGTGCGTAGTGTTTATAGTGTGTGTAGTGTGCGTATAGTGTGTGTGTAGTGTGTGTGTAGTGTGTGTGTAGTGTGTGTGTAGTGTGTGTAGTGTGTGTGTAGTGTGTGTAGTGTGTGTGTAGTGTGTGTGTAGTGTGTGTGTAGTGTGTGTGTAGTGTGTGTGTAGTGTGTGTGTGTAGTGTGTGTGTAGTGTGTGTGTAGTGTGTGTGTAGTGTGTGTAGTGTGTGTGTAGTGTGTGTGTAGTGTGTGTGTAGTGTGTGTAGTGTGTGTAGTGTGTGTGTGTAGTGTGTGTAGTGTGTGTGTAGTGTGTGTGTAGTGTGTGTAGTGTGTGTGTAGTGTGTGTGTAGTGTGTGTGTAGTGTGTGTAGTGTGTGTAGTGTGTGTGTAGTGTGTGTAGTGTGTGTGTAGTGTGTGTGTAGTGTGTGTGTGGTTTAGGATTCAATGCAACTTATGAAAATGTAATTTTATTATATTGAATAAAGTAAACATATTTAACTTTAGGTTAGCAAAAGTTTATCAGCGCTTTCAACGCACTCATGGTAAGTTTGCGTCTTATCTTCTGTCTCCTGTTCTATAGAGAAATTTTTTAGTATCATTCAATTCCCGTCGGACAAGTGCACACCTACCCTACTGAAAGCATCGTAAGTTACTTTCGTCCGTCACAATTGCACAGTACTATGAATTTCTTTTTAAAATCTTGTTTCTCTACAGAGCAATGTGGAGAAGGTGAGGCCTCCATTGCTTAAACAGGTAATAACTGAAGATTCAGTATTTTGGCTTTTGTAAAGGTATTTATTTCAGCACTCTCGAGTCCCTAACATCCAGGCCACTGCTGCTCGCCTTCGTTCTGTTTCAGTAAGCGCAACGATTCTATTACAGCAAGTTGAGCTGATGAGAAAATTTTTTTAGCATAATCGCACTGTTCCAAACATTAAGATCATGGCCATGCAGTTGCGAACTGATGCTGTGAGTTTTCTATCTTCTTTGAAAAATTTTTGTTTTTTGGTAATGGACCCTCTCTACCCTACTGACGAGCCTCGGAGAGGGTGTAGAATATTTTATACCAAGCTTTTCCTGTATGTCTAGGGCTAAGAGGCGAAACATCCTTTATAAATATGACAATTATTGTAAATAAATATTTTACACCTCTTGTATGCGTTTCCAAACAAATTTTTTGAGGAAATGAATCATTCGCAGTCGGAGACATTCCACAGAGCAAGAGTCGACGTCAGAAGCACTGCTCGAAGGCTGCGGAGTGGAAGTGTACGAAGTTGTATCACTGCAATTAATTTCAAGTTGGATTATTTTAAGGTATGCTTCGTTCCAAGAATAAGTTCAACGGCAAAGGATCTACGTCGCGTAAGCTTCCCCTGGCATAAATTTTATTTCCTGATATGCTTGCTGTTTGAGTACGCAGACGCTATGGCAGTAACTAAGGACGTAAGAAAGCCACCCGAAAGGACGCTGGGATTCTCAGAGATCGCGCAAACATCCTACGCCCCAAGGCTAGAATTCTCAGAGATCCTGCAAACATCCTACGCGCCAAACGTCGTAAGTAACCTTCCAGCTGCGATTATTGCATTCATGGTGCTCCACCAAAAATGTTTGGACGAGCTCGTCGTCCAGTACGACAAGTCAACAGGGATGCAATATTTCTCACAATATACTGACTGACTATCCAAGACGATCAGCAAGTTCGACTATTAACTAAGCGTAACTTATTCTATATTTCTACATGGTATTCTTCCATCGTTTTTAATGCGACAAGGGCGTGGTAAGCAGCATGATAGTACTGCTTGCTTTCATTTTCTATGCAATCAGTTCACTTTTGCATGGCGTGGGAACGGAATATGATTCCTCACCCTTGCAACAGTCTACTGATTTAGTTTTACATTGCATGTTTTAGAGTAATAGTATTTGTATGCATATAATGCATGTAGCATGCTTGCATGATTATCCATTACAAATCATAAGTCATGATAGTGCTTCTGTTTCAGAATGACACCACACCAACGAGAAACTGCACATGTTCCCGCGTGTACGAGCGCGAAATTCAGTTCATGAGGTCTAGAAGAAGAGATGGGAACAATCTCAGAAGGAGGATTGTATACGGTCGTCAGGCCAAAGTTGTCGCTGTTCGTGTTCACGCCTTCTTCACAGAATTGAAGAAGAAATTGAAGGGAACTTGTGGAGCTTCATTGTTCAGTTCACCCAGGGAACTGACAGCCCTTGCGTGTGGTATGTCCAAAACCACGGTTTCAACACTGAAACGTAAATTAGAGGATTCATCTCGTTTGGAAAGAAAGGGTGTGCACAACAGGAAAGCCTTGATTGCAGCTGCCCTCAATAGACACGGAGCACAATGGGGAGAGCCTGTAAGACAGGCAATACATCAGCGGTTACGAACTGAGACTGATGTAACGATGACAGAACTCCACGAAGAACTCTGGAATGAATACGAGGAATTTAACCTTTCACGTGCTACATTGTACAGGCTTGTGAGAGGCTTGGGGTTCTCATTCAGGAACAATGACGGACGGAGTATCATCTTTGAAAGAGGGGATCTGGTGGCAAAGAGGGCACGTTTTCTGAGGGAAGTTGAGTTTGCGAGAGAAAGGGGCGAATACCTGGTATACATCGACGAAACCTGGATATATAGTGGTATGACAAAAAAGAAAGGTTGGAACGATAACACCATACCGAGATTTGCTCGACGTTCCACCTTTGCCAGGTATTCGTATGGAAGAACGGCCAGCAAGAATAAAGGTAGAAGAGGAATTGTGATCGGGGCCATCGCAGAGGACGGGATAATTCCTGAATGTACACGCGTGGTAGTAAGTGGAAGGAACACTGATGGGGACTACCATGAGGACATGGACCATAGTCTCTTTGAAACATGGCTCAAGGAGTCCCTGCCACACATGATCCGACGTGCTGGTGATAGACGGGCTTGTGTGGTTATGGATAATGCCCCATATCACACACGACAATTGGAAAAAATTCCCACTCGGTCGTCGACTAAAGAGCAAATCAGAGCGTATTTGGAGGAAAAAGGAGTTCCCCTTCAGCATGATTGGAGAAAGGCAGATCTGCTTCATGAGGTAAATACTTACAATCTATAAAAAGTAATTATACTTGTCTTTCAGCTCGACAACTACGTTAGATCTAGGGGTGGACTTGCAGCTCTCCGCATATATGCCGCTGAGCAAATATGCGGAGAGTTTCGCGTTAACCTAATAAGGTTACCACCCTTCCATCCTTTCTTTAACCCCATCGAATCATGCTGGGGACAGCTCAAGGCCTATCTGGGGAAATATGGAAGAACCACAGATAGAATTCAGGTGGTACGTGCCGAGACAAAAGAAAACTCAATGAACTTTCGATTATTGATTCGTGTTTAAGATGAAAAGATAAAATTATAGGTAAAAGAAAGAACTCACTCTTGGCTGGAGAATGTTCCCGCATCATTAGCGGCTGGGTGGTTTCGTGAGGTGAGACGGGAGGAAACTGCGGCAAGGGAGAAAGAGATTCTGGACGAAGAAGAGGAAGAAGATTCATCATCATTGATGTACACATCATCATCTGAGGCGTCCGAGTACGATTCAGAAGAATCGTATGTCCCACGTCGGTCATAAAGGAAGAGATAGGGCTGAAACATGAGAAATTATTTCGTTCATGTCCTTGGTCGAACGTATGTATATATGTATATATATACGAACACATACGAACATACCAAACACAGTGGTAGGTAAATCGAACAGCCATTAGGACAACTGATGTCAGCCACTAGACATGAAACACATCCTCGGCGGAATACCGCACACGATCAAAGTTAGTCATTCGTAGGCTCTAGATAAATCAAGATATTATACAAGGGTTGAGTACGTTAGGTAATGCACCTGATTTAGCTGATTTGAGAACACTTCCATCCTAGTTATAAGCCTCCTTGAAGTGAGTGAGCCATGCATAGTAAGCACTGTAGAAAGAAATCTCAGTGAAGGATTCGCTTGTGTAACCAAACCATCGAGCGACGTACGGTTCGGTTTTCTTCATACTCATCCTGTTTTCTTCATATTCATCCTGTAACATTGGATGTTCTCAGGTCGCAACAGTGATACCGACAAAAGTACCAGGTCACCTCAAGAGCCAACAAAAGTTGCACCTGACTTTTCTTCGGCGGTTGATGAACAACAATACCCATTTACGGCATAGTTGTAAGATACACTGAACAAAGAATGCAAGAAATGATCATGAACAGACCTCGATATCAAGCTGAGCCACCTAGAAATGCAGAGAACACGTACTTGTCAAGATCATCTATTGGTATATTGTAAATAGAATTGGATAAGTTCTGTCAATATGAGACTATGCATCCGAACTTTCAAAGTGAGAAAAAAAACCAAGGCGTTCAAAATAAACACAGTTTAGCATTAAAATCAACAATAATCACCTGTTCCCTACTAAACGTGAACTCATGTATCCTCTCCAAACTTCCGGCAGCTTCTTTGTAGACTTTTGCAGTTGTATCGAGTTCGACAGATTTTATTCTAACTCTTAGTGCCGTTCACTCCTAAACAAATAGGGTCTCCAATGAAAACTTGTGATTAATGCAACGGAAAAGAGACGTGCAGAGTAAGAGGGCAAGAAAAGGAACACTTCGATGGTTACTATACACTGAATATACATTACCTTCACCTGTATCCATTCGGAGGCCACTTTACGACCATTTATCGTCCAAAAGTGTCCCACTGGCTAACGCTCAAATGTGGACATCTGCAAACATCTCGAGTTGGAACTGAAATTCTCGAGAAATTTATAAAAGATAACTACTAAAGAGTAAAAAACCTTTTACGTTTTTGCATTTAATTGCTTCATCATAATCATCATGAGGGGAACTGAAGCACAAGGCAAAATCAGGACGTATTTCAAAGTCAGCAAGGAAATCTGCATAAACAGAAAATGGAAGCAGTTCCTAATTGCACATTGCAATTTCAAAAGACCTCAGGTGAAGGAAGATATTTTCTTATATTTTCCCAGACACTCCTCAGCCATTGCTTTCGTTCTTATATCAGAAACGACTTAAATAAGAGTACTGAAGCATGCTTATCTGGGTAAGGTTCATTTATAAAGTCGTGACGACGGATTTGACTGCGGTTTTGCGCCCAAAGGAGCATAACAAAAGAACACCATCTCACCGTTCAGCTCAATCACTTCCAATGTCCAAATACTATCATTTATAAGCAGAAAAACCAGTCAAGTAGAGATTAAAACAAAGAAAATGCGGTTGCCGGAAGGTGCGTGCGTGTCGAGCGCGGTCGCGCCATCGTCACGATTTTTAGAATGACCTGTACCCACGATATCATATAGCTACTTCAAAATTCATTACTTCATGTAAATTACAGAAACTGCGTGTTAGCAAAATACTTACCTCAGCTGAAATGAAAGTATGCCTCTGAAGTTGTGTTCCATCTGGTAGATCAAGTTGCTTAGCACAGACTCTCCAGGCGAAAGGTTAACGCAATCACACAAATTCCTCCCAAACAGTAGACTGTTTGCAGCTAAACAGTGCAGTCAGAAAAACAGGCAGACACAAAATTTGAAAAGTGCGATAAAACATAACATGAAAAGCAAAGGGATGCAGACCTGTATGCGTGCCTCCTTTCAAAGTAGTGCAGGTGATTACAGCTGACTCATGCACATCATATAGACAGTGAAATGTTGTACTGAATGTCCGCTTGGCTCTAAGTTACAGCATGCAGCACTGGCGCACTTAAAATGTAGCAGTTATCATCCATCAAAATCCGTTCATTACTCCCCCATCGCAATATGTCTTTAATGCTTAGCATAAATACAATTTGAAAAAAAAGGAATGTTTTGAGTTGGCAAATTTCCAAAAAAAGAATAGTATCACAGATTCTTGAATATACATATATATTGATATCATAGACAAGATTAACAACGACAAACCTCAAAGCGATATTGAAATCATAGACAAGATTAACAGCGACAAACCTCAGAGCGATCGACGGAAGGTGAAGAGTGACAGTTACAATAATAAAGCATCAAAATAATAGCGTGGTAGAATATTCAGTATCCTAGATGTTACTGCAAAAAACGGCAAGTACTTCTATCGGATTAGGGCCGGCCCATCACTATCAAAATGACAGCAGATGATAGAATATTGAGCCTTCAAGGCGTTACTGGAAAAACGGCATATCATCCATCAAATTAGGGCCGGCCCATCACTTTTCCAGCAGAAAACCTGAAAATAGAAGAGAAAATAATGAAGAAATAACAACAAAGTGATATGGCCGGCCGCAAAATCAGCTGATGATGATTGGCAAAGCGCCAAGAGTGGACGCCCGTCACGTCTTGCATGGGCGTTGCAAGGCGTGCGCACTGGAGCAGTGCGGCGCGGAAAAGACCAATGCGGGTTGATATCGATGGTAGCTACTCCGTTAGGCATGCATCGCAGGCTCAGCCATGACGACGCGGAGGTGGGAGTGCAGGTTCGAATCCTGGCGCGTGAACCCGAGATCCTAGCGCGCAAGACACTCGAAGCGTTTTGGATAGCCGCCCAGAATCCAAAAATCAACCGGAAGGACGAGTGCCTAGCCATTACTAACGAACTGTCACCATATCAGAGCCTCTGTGGCTTTTGAATAATGAGGTCAGGTCAGCACCGGGTCACTAGTCAACTATCTAATATATAAAGAATCGCAAGCGCAATTCAAAAATGTGCACATAGCGGGAAACCACGTGGCGGTCCCGTAGCGCGCGCATGCTGCTAGCACCTTTAATTGCTGGTTCACTAGTAAAAGTTAAGCGGTACAGTTTTTGACATAAGTGGTCTGCACCCACCTATTATTATCATCTTCTAAGGTGAGCACTAGCTTAATCTTGGTTTTGGTTGAGGCTGTTGTTTTTCCTAGGGGTTGGTCTCTTTTCTGTGGTCGATGAGGTGTTTGATCGGATAGTTTACTTATGTGTCTTCGACTTTTCAGACTCTGAAGAAGGCGAGTTCGCCGAAACGTTAGTCTGTATTCTGTTCTGTGCGATAAATCTGTACCAATCTTGGACTACGCTCAAGCAACCAATGAGTTCTTACGATTTACCGGGGATAACTTAGAAAAGAAGCATCACAGTAAAATGAGAATTTCATATTCGAAATCAGCGTCTCCCATTACCGCAGTATAAGCGTTTTTGGCTTGTTTGCTTTTGTTTTGAGACAGAATGCCTCCAATGGCCTAAAATCCTTGTCGAACTTTGTACCGTAATTCTACATTGATGACAAGCGATCCATCGCTCCATACTGTAAATCTAAGTCTAACCTCGCTCTGCAAAATGGTAATTAAAGCTTCTCGAAACACTTCATCAAGAGAGTTATTTACAATCAAACTGTATGGTATGATTTTTGGGACACCTTGTATATCTGAAGCCTTTCTAGTATGAAAATTTGATGAATTGTATAGAGAAACTAAATGATAATAAAATTGATTGACTGATACGAGTTTCTTGATCTCCCAGTTTACGACCTTCCTACCGAAATTAAGTTTCGGCTGTAAACGGCATCAGGATGTGACTTTGAAGGGTAGACCATGAATAGACAACCTCCAGGGAAATTCGGCACGCTTATAGTGTCCTTGATAAGCAGAGGAGTGGCCGGACGAACTAGACCGCGGCTTTAGACTTAGCACAACAAATAGTAAAGATAAAAATAGTTCATCGATAGAGCCAAACCGCAGAATGACGATATGCAAATGAAATGCGAAATAACAACAGCATTTGATAGCGAAACCATACAAGCTAAAAGAACAGTGAACAACGGTAAGGAATGAGCCAGCTATCTTAGCAAACAAAATATGTTGATCCGTACATCTCATGATTGTCGTTCAAGACTACATGTGTGAAAATGTAGGCCAGGTGCCTGGAATACAGCGCTCTTACAGCAACTCTTCAGCATGTTTATTATGCATTTTCAGAAGCTATCACAAAGTGAAAAAAGACTACGCTAGTATTATCACCTATTTATCGCATTAGTATTGGAGATGCTTTGAGAAACACTGTCAGAGCTGTAAGAACTCGATGAGTACTCATCTACCACTGAGTGCGCAGACGACTGATCATCTGCTCTTTCATCAAACGTAAACGGGGCATCTCCCTCAGCTCTGGTCAAATTGTAAAGTGCAGCGCTTCCCGAAATGATATGCGCGATCTTGGGGGATCTGGAAAGAAGACATTGAGCTTTAAACACACTGATACACATTGTTAAGCACATATACATATCCACGAATATAGCCTTCATTTTCATAACCATAACCCATCCGCTCAAGATCGATGATGAGATTCTGTAGTGGCACAATCGCGGCCTCCTACCATACTGAATACCAAAGTCCTGTCCTGCTGTACAAGCAGAATTCTCCAAACTATACATATAAGTGGACTGTGCCTTTAAAGCACATAGTGCTTATGTGAGATGATTGACGGCTTTATTCGCAATTAGGGACCCGTCATACTTCGCCGAAAAAAGCCCAAAAGCGCCCAAAAAAGCCCGAAAAAGCCCAAAAGCGCCAGAAAGAGCCGAAACGCCTCCTTCTGTTTTGACATTGAAGCGTCGTGTTGATTTCGCAACCGAGTCTTTCTGCTTTATTTTTGTCGTCTGCACATCAAAATAATGTCAGAATTCCACCTTAAGTTCTCTCCTGCGTTCCAGCTCTTTCGGGCTTTTTTGGACTTTTTTGAGCGCTTTTAGGCTTTTTTCGGCGAAGTATGACGGGTCCCTTATCCCTTGTACAGGCTCCGATTGACAGAGCAGATGTCAAATCTATGTATAACGGCGTCGCACGACGAGGCAGATGTGCCGATGATAAAGGGATATTTCTAGACCACGGTATGCTCAGCACCTCTCGCCAGTGCTCGTCCGCGTAACGCAGCAACCTCCTGACTCCAGCATCTTGCGCGTCCTCGTCGCCCATGTGCGCAAAGGGAGTCTACGCCCACGTGCAAAGGGCGTCTGCTCAGCGCCTTCATTCGAATACCACACGATATAGCGGCAATCCAAAGTTCGACTAGATTAGATCACGCCTATATACAACAAAAAACATAATACACACAACTACCAAAAAGAAAAACTTTCCTACTAAAATGAGCAAGAAAGGCCCTCATGATCCCATGACCATAATATCCATCCGTCTTGTTCCGGTTTCGCCCACAGGGTCGACCGCTAGTCCCAAGCCCTTACGGAACGTCGCGCTCTCCGCTCCCGTAAATGTTTTCCATCTATATGAAGAACCATAACTGCTGCGCGTCTCTAAGCACAAGAAGATTACCAAAAGGCTCAACCGCTCGCAACCGAATCCTTTTAAGGAAATACTGGAGGCGCTGTCAACACAACGATGATATCAGAAAAATCTGATAACAAACGGACTCGAAGAGACACGCATTGCTATTTGCGCGGCATACCGTTCGTGCGGCATATACCCCTTGGCTTGGGAACGGTAAGAGCCATGGATGATACAGTGCCATGCCGGTAACGCGACAACCAGCTCTTAATCTCCTGTTGTAAGAGCCTTGAATCGCAGGAGCCGCCACAGACATGACACAATCAGTACAGACTATATATAAGACACTGAGGCCAAAGGGTGCTACAGATCTTCACTTTGAGAGCTGCCTTAGAACTGGCAATCAAAAAGCAGAGAAAAACGAACGTTATTCCTTTTGTAAGAATGGGAAACTGTAATTTCCAATTTGCAATGATGAGAGCTGCCTTAGAATTGGCAATCAAAAAGCAGAGAAAAACAAACGTTATTCCTTTTGTGAGAATGGGAAACTGTGATTTCCAATCTGCAATGACTTCCTGCACAACTTTATGTGCCCTGCGCAACGCGTCCTCAGGATTACCTGAAAACAAAAATTTAATAGAACAATACTGGATCTTGCAACATCCTCACCTTTCTTCGCTCCACTTGGTGTGTATAGAAAAGATTCGCACTTATAAGCATCGTCTCCGATAAGAAAACCCGTCATCGCGCCGTTTCTGAGCTGCTCGCAGAGTAAGCTCCGTTCGCATATTGACTCATCTTCTTCAAAGATAGTTTCCACCCAGCGGAACCTTCTCTCATCGTCCACAACTACTGCCACACTCAGATCCTTGCTGAAATATCAATCGTGAATATATCATCTAGGGAAGTTGTGCTCACCTATTTCGGGCTTACCTATTTTGGGTTAGAACGGTAGTGTCACCCAAACAACCTACAATTCCAGGCAAGCCGGTTGTTTCAGAAAATCTGAAAATAAGGAAATACCGGTGAATAGATACAGAGAGGTAACAAGCGACACATTTCCTAACCCACGCACTTGATTCAAAATGGCCGCTAAATGAAAGCACTTCATCAACGCCCCTAACTCAAACGTGCGAAGAACTGCGATCGTGCGACATTATAGGCTATTTCAATCTGTGTGTCATAGTTTTAGCGGCTCGTTCGCGACCGCCTCGCTCGGATCTTGAATAGCGTTCGCGAACATATGCTCTGCGCATTTTCCCATGTCTCAAGCAAGCCTCATTCGGTGCTGAGACGTCAGGTACACGCCACTGTTCATACAATTCATCCGCTTGATCCACTTCCCGTAAAACGCGCCGTGAGTATTTTGTTATTTGGTGTCGCGTACAGCAATATGCGCAACGATACGAATTTATTTACCTGAGCAACGCCAAATGACAAAGTAGTGACGGCGGATTTCACATGAAATGGATCAAGTGGGTCAAGTGGATCAGATGAATAGCAGATCAGCTTTGGCGCGTGCCTTGAAAAACACTCCAAAGTACTGCGCAAATTCGGCGCAGGGCCTAGGCGAGGCGCCTACGAAGACTCGAGTCGCTGAAGTGTGATCATAAAATCACGAGAGCGACAACTGCGAAATTCTACTTACTTATCTGAGATCCTGTTCCTTTCAGCATCCGTTGGCCAATAGATGACTGACTCTGACCACGAAAATATGGCATCCAACGCTTGGTCAAACATTTCAGTAACACAAGATTCCACCAGAGCTCCGCCTTTTAGCATGTTACTGTTACCAGCAAGCACATCCAAAGCTGTGCCGATTTTGACAGCAATAGAGTTTCTTGTCGAGTTAAGACCCTTCTTCTTCAAATGAGCGTCCAGGGAAGCGCACAGAGTCTCGAAAGTTCTTCTTGACATACGGAACCGCTGCCGAAATTTCTCCTCAGGAAGAGTATTTATGTCATCCATGATGCTCTGCTTGATTACTTTCACGCAAGCTGCTATCGCACTGGCAGTTTCACATTTATCTCCTCTATAAAAGAAAATCACATATGAAGGTGGAGCACATCCAAAGAACTTACACGGATTTTTTGTCCGTTTCTTTTTCAGTAAAGGGCTCTTGCAGCTTCTCACCTTGAACAAAAAAACATGCACCTTGAAAGAAGGAAAATATGGCACATACTTGCGAAAGTTGATGTTGACGTAGTTGCTGTTGAATCCACTGAAGACACCGTCTGCTCCATAAGGTCCGCAGCAGTGATTCCTTCGTGCACTACTGAGGCTTGTTCCTGTTTCACTTCATTCATCGCCGTTGATATTGAAGGTCCCTGTTTTGGTTGGAAACGTGGCGGATCCAGTGTTATAGAAGGCTCCTGTTTTGATTCAAAAAGCGGCAAATTTGGAATCGCTAAGGTTCCTTGGTTCGATTCTTGTGACAGATATGAAGATATCATAGATATCATTGGAGGTCTCCGTCTCGGATTATGCAGTGAGCGAAGTGGGACCTCTAAAGGATATTACATAGCTCCACACTGTAATTTAGGACACCAAGTACCTAACTTGAAAGCAGTAGATCGGCAAAGGGATCCTAGTTAGATTTTGGTAGCGTTAGGTGGTGGACCTCCAAGTACACCGTAGCTCCACCCCACCCTCTAGTTCATGCGCTGTGTCGTGAAAATGCGCTTCGAACTCTACCAGAACCACCCACTTGCATTGAGTGGGCGTCATTGGTGGAACTTTGAAACGAATTTGCAGCACTTAGCGCATCAGAAGGAGGTGAGGGTGGGGCTACGGTGTACATGGGTGTCTACTACCGAAAGCTATGAAAATCTGATTAAGGTCCAGTTGGCCGAGCGAACATATTGATTTTTTAGTATATCAAGGAGCAGTAAAAATGAGATTTATGAATCTATTTTCAACAAAGTGTCAGCCTACAGAATTGATTACTTCGACTCCAATTGACTCACCCTTCCGCCGAAGAGCCTCTTTCAAATATCCCTTCACAGTGTTTACTAAAGGCTCCGCCTTGCTGTAGTTGGCTTCGCAGTATCTCTAAACACACAATGACAAATCAAATTGAGCACGCAACAAAAAATGAATAGAGAAAGCAATTTAGTTTAGTGTCAATCTCACCTGCCTCTTCGCTGCTCTGGAGGCACCCAAGCCTTCAACATTCCAACCATCAGCACCGTCGTATTTACCCAAACAGTCATTGAAAAATCTTATAAGATCATCAGCGGCCAAGTAAACTCCATCCTTAAAAAAGATTACTTGAACGGCAAAACTTCTGACCTATGCAAGATGTCTCTTCTTCTCTGTTGCTGTCTTGCAAAACACAGAAACACACAGCAAACGTTAAAATTAGCCGTATAGGACGTTTTGCACCAGATGACTAACTCAGCCAAAGCGTGGCACTAAAAGTTCAACCAAGACAATAACTGGTGAGCTGATCACAAGGAAGGCAAATGGTTCTGCAAGTTAGCACCATTTTCTAGAGTTACGGTGGTTTACAATACGTGTTCAAAATCGCGACTTCGCTCAGAACGTTCAGAGGACCCAGCAGATATGATAAGCTGCGCGAAAGAGAAGTGGTTACAAAGTGCGCAGGACATGCGTCCGTCTGCTCTGATAGCGCAAAAAATGCTCTTTACCGCAATATGAATAAATATTACTATGAGAAAGTAAAGAAAAAATGAAGGAAATTGCGCTAACTTGTAGAAATAAAATTAGAAGTTTATAACCGTAATGAAGTAGCAAAGTATAAATCCGATTACTAGCAACGCACCGAGTTTACATTTCCAAAAGTGGTCAAACTTCGGAGTTCTAGGCAAGAGGGATAAACGGAAAACCTACATCGATACAATCCGCGAACACCTGTAATCGTATGAGAAAAGCCTCAAGGATGTCTGTTGGGACAGTGTGCAAGCCTTGGACAGGGAATTTTTTATGCATTTCTTTGACTTTGTGACCAATGAAAGCTGCCTGCATAGAAAAATTTCAATAAAAATATGTGTAACATGAACCATAGGCACCTACCGCTGTGACGAAGTGGTCTAGACAAATTTCTCTGACATCTTCAAGTGTCTCTCTATAAACTCTGATTGCATTATCCATGCCAGTACGATGTTGCATAAGTAAACATCCCAACAATATAATATTCTGCGCCTTTTTTCTTGCTGTGGTTCCTGCATCCAACAGAAGACGATCTCGTCCACATAATGTGCAATTAAATTCAAATCTGAATATATAACCGAAGATTGAAAAACGATGGTGAAGCGCAAAAGGTTTCACATACGATGTTCTCGCGATCCTTGTATGAGCACGTGTCGAATTTTCTTCAACCATGTCTTCCAGAGCAGAGGGAACTACAATAATATTTGATAAAACATAAAAGGACAGAATTGGAAAACTCGGAGAATTCTTGATGAGGGCTGAATGGCGACCTATGAGAGAACAGCGGCCGTATATAGCCATGTAACACTGAGAAAAGTAAAAAAGAGATTCTCAGACTTGCCACGAATCCCCAAATGCTAGACAACGTATCTAACTTGCTCAGCTAGACGTTTGAACTGGATGAGCCCAAGATTTTGAGTCGATTTGCTCAAACTCGTCTACGGTTGTTATAAATGAAGTGCACTAACCACAACAAACATTGAACACCGAACAAAGTTTACCTGGAGGCTCCGGATTTGATAAAGGGACATCGAATGTTTGCTAAAAAGTGACTGTAAGCTACAGATATTTCAAAACAAGATGAGCTAACAGACCAGCTGGACATTTGGATAATCACGAAGGACCGATACATCAGTATAGCCATTCAATCTCTAGAAAGAGACTTGTATACTGCGAACAAAGCAAAAATATTGTTAAAAAGGAGAAGGTATACTACACTAACCAAAAACTTGAAAAGTTTCCTGCTCTCAAAAACGCTGTTGACACCCACAACCACGTAAGATACAGCTCTGGAACAGATTTGTAGATGTCTTGCAACACTTGAATAAAATCTGACTATACACAAAAGATCTCAGTTCATCTCTTGATGGCAATGTAAAACAAAACAGTTTCTCAAAACAAAAAGCTCGTACAGGAACATTCACGAAAAAATATAAAAAACTTACTTTGGAATTTCTATCCTTTGCTCACCATTATTTGACATCGCAATGTAATCTGAATAGCTTTGACGGCTTCAGGTCGGGCGGAACACGCACATCTAATTCACTGACATACGGACGGAGCCTCATTTTAGATCGTCTGTGACCTCACTGACTGCTGTAACATCTCTCATCGTATCGCCGTCTGCGTCTCCTCTCAACAGAACACTCTCTGCTAGAAGAGACGCAGAGTGTGTATAGTCGCCCTCACCCCACTAGTCGGTCGGTGGACGAATTCAAATTTGAATTGGAGCAGGCCTGTAATGGCAGAGCGCGGCAGGAGACAACGCCCAGCAGTTACAAAAACTCAATATAGGTCAAAAACGTTGTAACAATACAAAAACTGCTAAGCAAAGGCGAAGAAAGACGCAAAGTGAATGCGTGAATTTGAACGGAGAGCTAAGGTGCCGTGCTCTACCGCGACCTGCCTGCTCCAGTTCGAATTCGAATTCGTCCACCGACCGACTAGTGGAGTGAGGACGACTATAATGACGTCCCGTTTGCACGGCAATGAATCACGCACTGAGCGCGATATCGTTGGTGACTGCAGATTCCTAGCTAGAGGAAGAGGAGCAAAAGCCATTTATTTGCATTTCCATCTACAAAAAAGAAAACATCCGTCTTTGACAAGAAAACTCGAACACCTCTTATTCCTTCTCCCATTTCAGCTCACCAATGAGAGTTAAAGTTGCGCACCCAGGCCTTTGCTAGGGCGGAGACGTGGTAACTTATATAATTGATTGACTGGTTGACCACATGGACTGGACATCACTGCGGAGCACGCGCGGCGAGGTAAAAGCTTGCCCTAGTACAAATTCGCCATGGAGGGGGGCAGGTCTACTTACAAGAACGTACCATTTCTCCCTTCACTAGAGATAATGATCATGACTTATAATAAAGCGCGTCTGTTTGTGTGTTTATGTCTGTCTGTCACGAAATTCATAGAGCGTTTTGTAGGCAAGGTCTTGAGCTGAGATTTTGGTCGTGGCACCCTACCAGCATGTAGGTAAAATGTGCAAAAGCACAAGCTGATCCGATATTCGGGACCTTCAAAAACTGCGCGTCAAACGGGCCCCCGCAGCTTTTGGCACGCAAAACTAGGTCAATAATTCCACTTTTTGCGAAGTCATGATTTGCCTGTCAAGTACATCTGCGCCTCATGAATTCTAGCCCAAAAAGTGCTCAAAAAGTTTGCTTTTCTGCGACAACAGGGCCAAGAAGTGGTGATCGCCTAGACAGTCGATTTGGCAAGGTTTTACCTTCAGACTTGGAAAGATTTTTGCACGGAAATTTAGCTCAAAGTGACTATTATCCTTATGACGACTACCAAGCCAAAAGAAATTCAGTAATTTGATCAAATTCGCAGGTGTTCCTTTGCGACAAGTTTTTTCTCACAAATTACGTGGAGATGCTTCAAGAATGAACAGTTGTTACTACTCATTTGTGATGTTCAGCATCGCACAGTGGGTTTCAAAGTCATCATTATGCGAACATGAGAAAGGCAAACGGATAGGAGAGCCAGTGCGAACCTCCGCGAAGCGGAGGTGACGCACTGGTAACAAATAAAAGAGCAATTAGATTACTCGTTTCTCAAGCTTTTGAACCATGTACAAAAATTGAAAAAGACCTTCTTGGTTTGGAGAGATAATGAACCCAGAACTAACTGATACTGTAGCTAGACAAAACTGCTCTATCTCGCGTCACAGAACAGCTAGGAAAAAAGAGACGGTCTACGTCGATTCCCGTGTTCTTAGCTATCGAAATGTTTACAAAGTGTTGGTGCACAGAGCTTTCCCAGTCCAAAAAGTCTTGCTCAGGCGCCCCACAGAAAGCAAGAGCGAGGTGGAGCAAGTTAATGCTAAATATCTCCACCTCATCCTTCTATATATATAAAACCGAATGGTGTACTTGTCTGTACGCTGGTGGATGCTGTCTGTACGTCCTCGATGGTGTTTTTCTGGTCGATGGTGTTTTCGTGTCTGTGTTCCAGTATGGAAACTTGTTGCTGCTTCCACCAAATTTATCGATTATTTGCAAATTTTGAACTACGGGGCTCGGAGTTGGCACAGGAGGGTAAGCGAACATGCTGATTACGAGTACAGTATTAGTTTTTAGAATTATCAGTTACTTTTATCATTTCGTCGATTTTTTTGCAAAGTTCAAGCTACGGGGCTGGGAGTTGGCACAGGGGGGTAATCGAGCATGCTGATTACGAATATGATAACCATTTTCAAAAATACCCATCACTTTTATCATTTTATCGATTTTTTTTGCAAAGAATCAAGGGGCTGAGAGTTGGCACAGGGGGGTAATCGAGCATGCTGATTACGAATATGATAACCATTTTCAAAAATACCCATTACTTTTATCATTTTATCAATTTTTTTCTTGCAAAGTTCAAGCTACGGCGCTGAGAGTTGGCACATGAGAGCAAGCGAGCATGCCGATTACGAATATGATAACCAATTCAGAAAATACCCATTACTTCTATTGGTTTGATTAATTTTTTTGCAATTTTTGAACCACGGCGCTGGAGGTTGGTACAGGCTGGTAACTGAGCATGCTGCTCACGAACACGTTCTTATTTTACAAGTTATCAATTATGATCGGCTCCCAGATTCGTGTGGAGGTGTATTGCAGACTTTGCCTGATAACCCATGTTAACTTGCTAAACCTCCACGTCATAGCATCATGCTTTTCGTAATCTCTCGCTAGCAAAAACCGCCACGCGGTGAGTTGGCAAGACTCCACCTCCACACGAATCTGGGAGCCGATGATACCTTCACTGGCTTTATCGATTTTTTGCAAAGTTTGAGCCACGGAACTGAGATTTGGCACACGGGAAAAGCGAGCATGCCCATTACGATTGTAATAAGTGTTCTTGAAAGTACCTATTATTTCTGTCGATTTTTCTATTCTTTGTAAAATTAGAGCTACAAGGCTGGTTTTTGGCACAAAGTTGTATGTGAGCACGCTCACTGCGAAAAAGTAACCCTTTTTGAAAATACCCATTACTTTTATTGATTTCATCCTTTTTTTAAAGCTGAAGCTACGAGGCTGAGATGGCACCGGTCCGGGGGTAAGTGAGCATGCTGAGAATTCTATAATCACACTCGGAATTGACGAAGACGGTAACTTTACCTAAAGTTGTCATAGATCCACTTTGGCCCGCCTTTACCTTCTAAAATCCTACTTTTGCCCCTAAAATGAGAAAAGCATAACGAGACTGGTCTTGGGGGAAGTAAAGGCTTATAAGCTAAGGCGGCAAGACATTTCCGCTAAGAATTTTTAGAGTCAATATCTAATTATACAGAATTCCTTGAAATTTACTTCTGTCCCTTCCACTTTGCAAAAGCCATACTTCTGCCTCTGAAAGCAGAAAAGTGGTCTCTGGGGATGGACAGACCTATGAGCTTCATACGATAGGACATTTTCACTGAAACTTTTGGCCCCAAACTTCGCAAAAACCACAAACTCAAAAACCACAGTTCTGTCCTAAAAGCAAAAAAGACAGGGAGCTTGGTATCGAGGGAAGAAAGAATTATGGCCTCAAGCAGCAAGATATTTTCGCCAGGAGTTTCTGGGTGTCAATGATTATACAGAACTTGCTTGAAATTTACTTCTGGCCCTTCTACTTTGCAAAAACCATATTATTGCCTCTAAAAGTAAAAAGCACAAAGTGCTCTCAAGGGAGGGGCAGACATATGAGCTTCATCCGACAGGACATTTTCGCTAAGGTGTTTAACCTCTAGACTTCGCAACCAGTACTCATCCCCCTAAAAGCAAAAAGTACAGGGGATTTAGGGCCGCATGCACTAACATCCCCTCGGGGAGGGGATCGCAGCTCAAAAGAAAGCTTAATATTTCAAAACTCCCGGTACCTGGATTTCACGTTGTGTACCTATCCGTAAGTATTCCTACTATCCTTCACTATGAACATGTTGAAGAGGAGCGAGAAGCTGTACGAACCGCATTTTCTAGCTTTTGTATGATCCCTGATGATCCCCGGCGCTTTTCTTCAAAGTCATTTTTCTTTCTCCGAAGTTAACGAAAAACCTCCAAATTTGTGCAGATTATCTAACCCGACAGTGCTAAGCATGTTGCTGATAAGAACAAATGTTGTTTTGAAGTCATGAAATTTTCGATGATCCACAGGTCGAAATTTGAGGTTTACCGAAAAATTCGACTTTTCAAAAACTCATTTGTTCTCATTAGCAACATGCTTAGCGCTGTCGGGTTAGATAATCTGCATAACTTTGGAGGTTTTTCGTTAACTTTGGAGAAAGAAAAATGACTTTAAAGAAAAGCGCCGGGGATCATCAGGGATCATACAAAAGCTGGAAAATGCGGTTCGTACAGCTTCTCGCTCCTCTTCAACATGTTCATAGTGAAGGGTAGTAGGAATACTTACGGATAGGTAGACAACGTGAAATCCGGGTATCTGGAGTTTCGAAATATAAAGCTTTCTTTTAAGCTGCGATCCCCTCCCCGCGGGGATATTAGTGCATGCGGCCCTTACAAGGGAAGTTCGCCGAATCGAAATGGCCTTTTGATACGTGGTATATACCCGGACACGGAGCTCGGAAGGTTAGTATCAAATGTGCGCCCATCAGCTGCGACGCGTTATTGTGAAGCAACTTATGGGCCTCTGAAGTTTTTGGCGTGTGCATGTCTAGAGGATGCACAAACGCTCCGACTGTGGTCGTGAGGTGTAGTGGTTAGCGTCTCGGACTCACAGGTGACCGGTGAGGGTTCGAATCTTGTTGCTGTCCACATGTTTTGCGTTCTTCTCAGAAATCATTTTTTACCTGTTTTATGTATTATTGAGGTATAAAGTGACACACACGGGTTACGGGATGATTCTTCTTACAAGAATTCGACCAAAGCTTTATATGTAAAATCTTCATAGTACATAGCAACGACTTTTTAGCGAGGCTTTTCAATTGACTTTGAAGATTTGCCGAATGTTCACTCCCACATACTTTCTTCGATTGCACGTAGTATTTAATTGACATTCTCCAAGTTGTATCACGTCGTGTTGATTCTTGCTAATGGGCTACCTTGTGAGAATGACACAGCAGGATGTATAATTAGTAGAGTTTAACCACCCGTATGTGTCATTTTTTACATCAGTAATGCATAAAACAGGTAAAAAATGAATTTTGAGAAGAACGCAAAACATTGGACAGCAACAGGAT